GTTTTTTTTCTTTGTTGGAAGGCTTTTTATTACTGCTTCAATCTCATGGCATGATATTTGTTTGTTTAGATTTTTTTTTGTATTCTCTTGATTCAATTTGGACGGTATCTGTGTCTCAAAATTTATCAAAGCTTTTAGATTTTACAATTTATAAGTTTTCAAAAATAACCCCTAATGGTTCTATACTTTAGAAATATCTGTGATGACATCTCTTTTTTCATCTCTAATTTATTGATTTCATCTTCTCACTCTCTTGTTTAGATCGGCTATGAGTTTATCAGCCTTACTTATCTTTTCAAAGAACCAACTCTTTGTTGCATTGACCCTTTGTATTTTTTTCATTCTCTATTTCATTAATTTTAGCTCTGATCTTGATTATTTCCTGTCTTCCACTGGCTTTGGAATTCATTTTCTCCAGCTTTCCTATGACCTTGAGATGTACCACTAGATTGTTTATTTGACATTTTTCCTTTTTTTAAAAATGTATGCACCTAATGCTATAAACTGTCCTTTTAGAACTGATTTTGTACTGTCCCAATGATTTTGGCATGTTGTATCTCTATTCTTGTTTGATTCTAAGAACTTTTTAATTTCCCCTCTCATTCCTTCTCTGACCCATTCTTCATTTAAAAGACTATTGTTTAATTCTATAAGTTTGTGGGATTTCTATAATTTTTATTACTGTTGATTTTTAATTTCATTCCAATATGATCTGATTAGATGCACAAGAGAATATCAGTTTTATTCTATTTGCTGAGACCTACTTGGTGACCTAAAATATGCTCTATTTTGGAAGAAATTCTATGAAATGCTAAGAAAGAATATTCAGCTGTTATTGGATAAACTATTCTATAGACATCTCTTAGGTTCATTTCATTTATAGTATTATTTAGCCTGGAAATATCTTTATTGATTTTATATCTGGATGATTATCTATTGGTGAAACTATTACCAGTATTATTTTATTGGAGTCACACATGTTTTGGGGTCTTTCTGGGAGGGAATGACAAGAAGTGTATACTTTATTTACCTAAAAGCATTGACATTTGGGGCATAAATCTTAACTGTCATATCTTATTTTAAAAATTATTTATTTTTTAGTTGTAGGTGGACACAGTATC